CATATCAAAAAGAACATAATTATAGAACTTAATTTCTAATGTGCCAGTGCCTATGGAATATCCATAGACACTGGCTGTATGGTGACATGGACCAACAACATAGTGCAAAGTCGCCACAGATGTTACGATGACAAAGTGATAGCGCGTTGTGACAGTGTCTAATCCTATACGAAGTACTTACAATAAAACTGTGATAAAGTTCCTTCTTATTAAATGATGAAAAATAAGTTATCATAATAGGTACATTTATTTAAATTTAATGAAAAACTGAGTTTGCAACGGTTTTCAAAGTTTATTTTAACGTCTTATTATTCTGCAGATAATTCTGAAAAATTCGTTCCATAACTAACTCATAATGATCATTCTTAATTCTATTTATTATTCATATAAATAAAAGGCTGTATAAAATCTCAAGTTGGTACTGGTTTTTAGTTACGGTGCTACGATGAGGCTTCTCCGCCATTTTATTTCATTTGTCATTCGCTCATTCGGCTTCTAACTTCTGTTTTGAGTGCACGAATAACTTTGCCCACTGCGAGTTGTTTTAGTTATCATTATTGTTAAATTTTTGTTACGTTATGTTTGTTTTTCGTTATCTACTTTTTCTTAATCGTGTCAGCTTTTTTTTGTTTGTTACATTGAAGACATGGATGCTCAGTTGAGCATATCACAAGATGGAGATACATCTCTATCTCCTAAGAAAAAAAGGCCACGTGTAGCTCTAAGTGCAACCGAGAAACTTTGGGTCAGAAACGTTTACAAATATGTGTTTAAAGTGAAATCTACAGAATCAAACATTGAAGTTCCAAATACAAGTGAATGCGTCAACAAGGTGGCTGAAGTCTAGGGGAATATCCGTCCGCACTGTTTATTTTGTTTTAAAGGAGCACAAGGAGAACGACTGTAAATCACCAAAACCTCCCGATAAACCTGGCCCAAAACTTACATTTAAAGAAAAACTTGATGATTTCACATTCACCGCACCGCTAGACGAATTCTTTCATAGAAATGAAGTACCCACCATCGCAAAGGTTAGTGTACCTGTCATCACTAATCTTTTTATTATACGTTAGGTAGGTATAATATGTTTTCTGCCACTCCATCTATTTCATTGAATCTAATTGGTTAAAATTCCACAATTTTAACCAATTAGATTCAAGAGTGGCTGACCACTAAAAATATTACATTTGAAATTTTGAACCAAATATAGTGAAGGCCACTCTCATAGATATTGTGAAACAACAAAATCATACTGAGAAATATGCCGTGGACGAGATTGCTGCATAAAAAGGTTTCAGACTTTTAAGACTGCCCCCTTATCACTGTGAATTGAACCCCATCGAGTTGGTTTGGGCTCAGGCAAAGGGGCACGTCGCAAACATTAATAAAACATATAAAATGCAAGAAGTGAAAACTTTATTCCAAGAAGGAATCAACAAAGTGACACCGGTTAAGTGGAGTGACTGTGTGTCTAACACTATAAAAGAGGAAGACAAAATGTGCCACCTCGATCATATTATTGATGAAATGACAGACAGATTTGTCATTAGTGTGACCGAAAGCGACAGCGACAGTGATTCCGAAAATATTTGATTAATAAATAACATTGTTATGACTTTTTGTTTAATATTGGATGTACGTCCCGATACTTCCAATGAAAAAGATCAATCATTTACTATAGTAATAATAATAGAATAAAAAATCATTACAACTTAATATTAAATCTCTTAAACAAAACCAATCTGATCAATCATTTATTGAATGATTCACTTACTCACTTAGCTACATCCCTATTTATTTTTCTTCAAAAAGCGGTAACCCACAAAACGTCATTTTACTGCAGCTAGTAAAAAGTTCTACTTTAGTATAGATAGTTAGGATAGTAATATTTAACCTCTGGCACTGCATGATGTGAATTATGTAAGTAAAACAAATTATGATACAAGGATATGCACTGCATTTGTGTATATCACAATCTTAGAGTTGCATACAGCTACTGCCAATTTTAGATAGTCGACGAATGATATAAATGATTTTTTTATTTACTACTACAAACAACATAAGCAAAAGATGACTTTTTGAATAAATACGGAAAATAAGTACTAGTTAAGTATATAATTTACATTCATTAGATATACGGATAAGGAATTGATTTAACTTTACACATTATTGCAAAGATTAAGGCCCATAAGGCCTTGACCCTGATGGTAAGATGCCGATACCATCTTATAATCCTAACTAAAAAGTGTAAAATAAAAAAGGTAAATTTAATAAATCAAAAAACCCGTCTGCTGAAATATTACTTCAAATAAAAACTGAAAAGAAAAAAAACCAATCCCAGTAGTCTAAAATTCTGTTAAGTAAGGAACAAAGCTACTTTAACAGTCGGGACCAACCCATTTTTGAAAAAAATTGATCCATCCTTGAATATCTAATGGGTCCCGACTGTTAAAGTAGCTTTGTTCCTTACTTAACAGAATTTTAGACTACTGGACTTGTTTTTTTTCTTTTAAGTTTTTATTTGAAGTAATATTTAAGCAGTCGGGTTTTTTGATTTATTAAATTTTTATTTTGTTCATGATTCCTCCCTAACCAAGTTTTTCCTAATAGTTATTTTTAAAAATCGCACCGAATAAAATGAATTAGTTGTAATATTAATTTGACTTCATACTGAGTTCGTACTAAATTCATAGGTTGACCTATATTTCATTGAATATTAAACATAACCTCAAAAAAAAAATTAGTTCTCAGAAGTGTCCGTCAATAATCTTTGTTTTTACAGTCATTTACTTACGATTTTGAACCTAGAAAATAATATTTCATGATTGTTGGTTCTTAGGCTAACTATGTATGGATGCTGAACAATATCCTTTATATAACTATCTCTAATCTAAAATATCAATTGACTTATTACAAGAAAAGAAACAATACAATACTAACTTACCCTAATGTAAATTACATAGTAAAATGTAACTTATAAAAGTCTCCTATGTTTTTCGTATCAAATAGCGAAAAACAAACATCTTTATGCTAAAATGCTAAACCATCTAAATAATCTGATTCAAATAAATGTTCTTTGGTAACTCGTATGTTTGTTTATGATAATCTCAAAGCTACGGATCCGAATTGGATGGGGGTTTTGGCATATAAATGCGTATTTATCTGAGAAGGTTTTAGTACATAATTTACTAGCAATGTCCCACGGTCACACTAATTAGGCTTGCCGAAAAAATAAGCTTTACTTGAAGTCTATACCAAGGCATGCGTTTATCAGGGAGATCATCATAATAATAGCGATCGACTTCAAATATATCAGTCGGTAAGTAAATCTTATTACTTACCGACTGATATATTCTTATTAAAAATATTCCTGTGCCTTTATTGAACCTGTGCGCGCATTTATTAATAATATTTGCGTAATATTAATTCCACCCTGCCGGAAATACTTATCAAGATACGAAACGCGAGTGATAGGCTGTTGGCGCCAGTTGATTTATAAAACACAAAGTAACTTGATGACATTTCTTAAGAGACGTACTGATGGATATATTGGCCAAAAGTCAAAAGTATTGTCACCAACCGATTTTGAAACGTTTTTGAAGGTAGCTCCGCAAAGTCAGTGTACTTGGCAACAAAGGTCAGTTAACCTTTATAACAGTTACTAACAATACAAGTTTGGATTTTCGTCGTAGTTGTGTTGAAAAACGTCGTATGCTGCTCGTGTGCATTGATCATTACACATTCAGCTTCCTTACCGAGTTACAATAATGTATGTTATGTCAGTAAATATAAAACGAAGAAACCTACGCCTAATCGTATAAGTACATAAAAATATTGAAATTCGTATTTAATTAAGTTCATCTTTAAGTATTTTATGAGCTACATTTATAATCTGTAACATATTAATTATAACGTGCAATATTTTCCTTGTTACTATTACTTGGGTAGCAGTTGAGCAGCTGGCCACACGATTTATGACATTCTATAGCATCGTTGCAAATTGTCATACACACAATGTTGCCGCATTTACGGAGCTGTTGTTTTTTGGCAGGGCGGTATTTAGTCGAGTGAAGCGAGACCATCATTCATCTATGGACTGCAGTTGCATAGAATAATTAGGGGTCTGGCAAACATATGGACGCTTTTGTTTTAGATAACTTAACACTTCGACGTACCTGTAGTCTACTTGGCACCTTTGGGGAGACTGTAACACCGCCTTAGTCTCAATCGAATCGATGGCTTTCTCATAGTCTACGAAAGCCTAGTGGCAGATATTATACTCTTCGGTCTTTTGTATGACCTGCCGCAGCCAGCGTATGGGTGTGGTCTATGGTACTAAAGCATTTTCGTTCAGCGCGCGATGAGTTTGCTATATCTCCGCCTCCACTTTTCCACATTTAACCCTCTGAGATGCGTGCGCGCGTTCCTTTTAACTTGCACTGCTTGTAGTGAGTAGTTGTAGTTAGAACGTAGCAATTAAGCTTCTTTGACGCAATAGTTTATTAAAGCGTGTTTTATTCCATTTAGTATTGCCTTATTATATGAAGTGTCTTATACTTAGTAAATAATTAAAATAAATGTATTAAAATACCCGAAATGCCGGGTTTAAAAAATTAAACCACCGGGTTTTTTTGTAATCCTAAAAACCGGGAAAATCCGGGGTTTTCCGGACCGGGTGAACCCGGGCTCGATGCCCTACGTAGAATATTAAACATACTTATGTTGAAATCGATCGAAGAAAATATAAAAAAAAATATCCATGTCTTATTGTGTGCGAGTTAATTATGTACTTAGGTTCTTTCAGGATTCGCCTCCTATAAAGAACATGCAGTTCTATTCTGTAAAATTTTCCGCGCGGATCCAACGTGGATCGGGGCGTTGATTTACATAGGAACCGCCGCGTGAAAATTTTACAGAATAACACTGCATGTTCTTCATAGGAGGCGAATCCTGAAAGAACCTAAGTACATAATTAATTAAATACGTAAATGAAACAACAAATCGCATGTGCGTGATATTTTATTTCACTGAACTTGTTTCACAAAATTTGCGCTGTTCAATGAATGCAACGTTCGAATAAACTATGTGACTAATGTGCTTTCTTCATTATGACCTATAAAGTACATGTTTATACCCAGCATGTACCTACAGTTCGTTTCATCATAACAATAGTCAACGAATAATTATTAATTATATTGTATAAAAGTAGAATAAAGCATAGGTAATTAAATACAAGTTTCTTCAAATGAATACATATCTATTTATAACTTGTTCTTTGGGTAAGTGCTCAGAAAACTTCTGTTAAATTAGAATTTGGTTTTTTAGAAAGTATTTAGAGTAAACAAACGTTTCTCTCGATAGAAAAATAAAACAAATTAAGACTTGTTTAAAAAGTGATCAACAAAAAATTTATTGCAGGCGATACAGTTTCAAATTATTTAACGCAGGAATATTTAAGTCAAGTGATGGCTTGCCTCGTTGAAAAGTCTCAATTGAATAAACAATATTTAAAGTAAAGATAAACATGAACCGTATTATTGAATTAGAATTAGGTACATATTTAACTCTTTAATAAAGTCAGATTTAATGCTCACCACGAGAAGGATCTCTTGGTAGGCACGAGGGCTGTTCAAAAAATAAAGTGAATTTTGTGACTTTTCAAAAAGTTTTTTTTTTATGTAATCCCAATCAAGGAACAGGAAGAAATCGATGATGGGCCAAACACGTCTAGGGAAAGCAGCTGTCAAAAATTAATTAAACATTCAAAATTCCGATTCTTTTATCATAAGTGAGGGATAAAAGTACCAATATAACGTCATAAAAAATAATAAAATAATAGCTCGCGGAAGTCAACAATTCGAGATACTTTTTGAACAGATTTTGTATATTAACAATTTAACATAAGCAATAGTAAAGTAAATTAGGCAGGTACCTAATCATAAGTAGGTAGGACATAATCAACCTATTATAGGCCAGACTTTCATTGCAAAGAACCTATTCACAGTTCAAACTATTGTAAAGTATTATCGCAACAATTACTTATGTTTAATTGGCTACTTATTTCTTCATTTATCGGTTGTTTAAACACGCATCATGCTTTAGCACAATATTTTGTAAATAACGTAATTTAGATAACTTTATTTGTATGATTAACGATATTAAATCAGAAAATTCAAAAGATGCAGTTTCATTATGGTAAACTTGTTATTTATACATTCTATTAAATGTTGCTCATTAAGAAAATAATCTATTTGGAAAAGTTTTCAACTCGCTTGTGCTATTTTTTCAAGGTCGAGCTAAAGCGGTTCTAGCCAATAAGCGGCAGATCACAAATTTTCGATTGTGCCTTTATGTTCATTCCTAATTATGTGGTTACGTGATAGATAGCCTCGATTACAGGTTATAAAATAAGAAAAACCAAATATTTTGTAATATAGAAGATATATAAATTTCTAGTTAGTCCAAAGTTATAGATGGTTATAGGTCTCGGCACACAAATTTATTTTGAGCCTATTCTTTATAATAATTATCAGGCATACGATAAAAGGCGAATGGATAGTTAACAGAATGTATAAATACACAGCATGCATTTTTTCATAATTAAATGCGCTTATTTTTCAGCTTAACAATATAAAATTTTGATCACAGACAAAATTACATAATACGATAAACGCATTCACATTGCGCTTAATGTTGTTGAAATATAAAATACTTAACTTATCGTTACGTTATTCTAATATAATTGTGAGATTATTAAAAGCTGAAACAACCAGTTTTCTGTGACTAAATTATTTCAAGGCAACAATTTTCAAATGATTTAAGCGAACATATTTTCGCAAGGTGGCGACTTATATATATTTATTATTCTAGTTAAGGATATTTAACAGCTAAAATTTCATGAGTACTAGTTTTTACAGTATATAAATTTCTATAACATAGACACGATGTTATGTTTCGTATTAGAAAGACAAAGATCTGACGCGATGCATTATTCTCCGTTGATCAAAATTATAAGTACTTGCTGTACTGTAGATTTCAAAGGTGATTGTACATCATTGAAATTATTAATTTAAAATCCACAGCTCGGATACTTTTCAAAAATGCTACCTAATTTACTTTAATTTTGTGTAACTGGTATCAGGCAATGACGAACAATGAGGCAGAAAGCTTACTTAACTAACACACGATGATTCGACACTGTTCGGTTTACGAATAAGTTACCGAGTTATCGTTGTTTATTTTAATTAGGGGCGTGATCTACAGGTATTAATCCTGACTTTACATTTGTGATTCTGAAATTGTAATATGCTAGTAAAATTTGATTCGTCGCAATCATAGACTTCAAAATCGTTAATTTCAACAACGACCTACTTCTCTTCAGTCTTATCATGGTCTAAACAAAAATTTCACCTGTAGAACAAACTCATTTTCCATCTGAAATCCACGGTGTGATTTAAAATTAGAACACGAATTTCAAATTACATCGGCGAATTTCGCGGTGAAAAGTGAGTTTGTTCTTACAGAATAGCACTGCTGAGTTACTGCTGTGCTGAGGTAAGTATTTCGAGTGAAATTTCTTATAAAATCCATACCATCTTAAATCGTACACATGACTATAGAGCTCTGTACATCAATGTTTCGGTAAGTATATAAATATATAAATGGCCTTATCAGTACATTTATTGTGCGTTGTAAAAACGCTCATTTCGCAAATCGCAAAAGTATTTCATGTATGGCACGGATACCCGAATCCTTATTGATTTTACGTTTTTTCATTTATTTATAATTCGAAGTTAAAGCAGCAATAGTAATCCACATTTAGTTAAAATTTCAACTGTTACTATCTGTCACAGTTGTTGTTATGATTGAGCCTGCTGAACAACAGATAAAGACAAAAGTAATAGGTACTTTATGCGCAATCTTTTCCTAATTAAGTACGTTTCTTCAAAAATCTAATCGAGCCCTTACCGCCAAATTATCGTAAGCGACACTCGCCAAATTATCGTAAGCGACACTTTTGTCGAAATGCGTTTTTTGTGGAAACTAATATTTTAAACCGTAACGGACCCATCTCTGTTAATATTTCCCTCTATTCTTCCCTCTATTATATTATAACGGTGTTCTTTTGGAGGGAAATATCAACAGAGATGGGTCCGTTACGGTTTAAAATATTAGTTTCCACAAAAAACGCATTGCGACAAAAGTGTCGCTTACGATAATTTGGCGAGTGTCGCTTACGATAATTTGGCGGTAAGGGCTCGTAATGTTATGTGCAAACACGATTAGGTTGTAGCTACGCAATATACTTAGAAGCATATAATATAAAGACATATACCCAATGTTTTATTTGTTTTATAATAACGACAAATCAAATTAACAAAATAACATTTACCAAGTCAATGAAGAAAGGATATATTATAAGTAATTTTTGTGTATTTTAGCTTATTTAATATTTCATAAAATAAAATGTAATAATATGTAACGAAGAATTATTTGTCATCCTAGAGATAAAACGCACTTAGTAACGTCAAAGATCCTTATTATCTAACTTAAAGTTATCAATAAAACAATATACACCCTGTGCTTAAGCGCTATTAATAAACCTTCAATAGTATTTAAGTGTTCAATCATTAATTGCGATAAATCAAAACAATAATGGAGTGTAAGGAACATTTTCGTAGAAAAAGATCCACTCGGTCCAGAGGCCATATTATCAACTCCTAACGTCAGGCAAGTTCCATTGTTAAAGTGAGACATCACATGCGTGCGCGCCTGGAGTTATGTGTTCATAATTATCAACTCCTAACACCAGGGGGCCAATTATTAGGCCTTTGAAAACCTTCGGGGGTCAGAAATAACAATATGAAATCGTAAGCGATAGCGATAACCATAGCAATCCTGTTAGGCGATTGACCCCCAGGCAGGTTCCATTGTTAAAGCGAGACATCACATACGCACAGTAGCGCGACATCCCACTTCAATCACTGTTTTTGCCTGGCGTTAAGAGGGGGGGAGGCGGGCAATGCTTTTTCCATACAAACGTTCTCGAAGGATTCCTCCTTGAATCACTAAAAATTGTAATTATGATACAAAAAATTTATATTGTATTTCGAAGAAACTCGAAGCCCTCAAACATGCCAAAATAAACAAATTATTATCACCACTAAAGACGTCTAGCGTGGAGATTTAATAAACATTTACATAAAAAGCAAAACATAGAGGCATAGTTTAACTACTTTTTATTCTACGGGTAAAACTTCTACGTATGTTTAATTTTCGAGGAGGAAATAGTCTAGAGCCAAACCTAGAATTTTGCATTTTAGCTATTAACGGGATTGTTACCATGTGCCTTGTTTTTTATGAGTTTCCGATCATCATCTACCCGCAATTACTTCAGTTACTCCGTGATCATGGTGCTTGCAACAGTGCCGAAATATCGGAGACTCATAAAAAACAAGGTACATGGTAACAATCCCGTTAATAGCTATAATGATAGTGACCATGAAAGTTTAAAACAATATATAGAATTTTGCAATATTTATATGTAAATTTCAGCGTTAACTACTGTTGTCCCTATCGCACGGTATTTGCCAATGCGTGATAGCAATAGTTTTTTCAAATACCTATTTCTCAAATGTCTCTCAACTCGCGTCCGCTCTTATACGTTCATAATACGGCCTCAGGTCTCGGCTGAAACCATTTTCTAGGTAAATATTCTTTAAATTTAAACACCCACCAGTTAGATGGTAAAAAATAATAATTAATGGAGTGGTCATTTATTTTAAAATATTTAATTCGAGTATAAATTGTTAGAACCAATTATATAAATGTTACTTATTTTATTGCACAGTAGCTTGCTTGTTTCATCTGCGGATGAAGAGTTTCATTTAAAATTGTATTTTTAATTAGCTTTTTTACAGGCTCACAACAATAATGTTTTAATTATTCACAGTTTAAATTGCAGTGCAGATGTTGATCTTATAAGTATTTACGTAACGGGTAGGTACCTACGCGGATACATTTTTATGTAATTGATAATCAAATGTTGCTGTCTTTTCTATTTACACGGTACTATTAATTAAATAACTTTGTTTTCATGTCTACTAAGATTCACTAAGCGGTATCTAATAGGTACCTATCGATTAAATAAATCGGCCCTTTTAATCAGTGATAAGTAAGTATGTAGTTACATATATATATTTTGTACAACAAATTAATTGGAAACCCAAACAACAAATTAATAAGGTCGTCTTCCCTTAAATATAAAAACATATTTTTTAACTTTAGCATAACAAATCATCAGGATCAATTTATTGATATTCGATAGGTATGTTCTTAGCAGTATGAGGTTATCTAATATGTAATAAGTATTTATGAAGACAAAGTTCTATTTCTACAAAAGCAAATATTAAATGTTCAAGGACCTATGTGCACGGCGAGATAATTTAAAGCAAAGCAAAGAGAAATTTTCGCTATAACTATATAGTTTGAGAACAATATTTTAACTGGGAATTGACCAATTTACAAATCTAATTAATCTACCTACTAATATTTACAAACATATCGTATCGCGCTTAAAATTATTTGAACGATAAAATTATTGTAAATGATATAAGTATTTAGTAATTAAAATGTGCGATTTTTCTTATTTTTCATCTTTAACAATTAAATTCATTGAATGATTCTGGCGTAATGTGAAATAAAACCACATTCTAATCGTTGTCTATGCCAAACTTGTGCGTTGCTATTTTATGAGATACCTGTTGTCGGAATAGAGAGATATTGTTAGAATATAAGTGGTGTCTTCAAATTATTTAGTACTGCCGTTTAGTACTTTTCTCCAAATAAGTAAGTAAGTATATTTAAAGAGGTTTTTACTAGAAATTATCATCCATTAGTAGGAGAGCTACTGAACAATTCGAGTAACGGTATGTCTGTAAGGGTAGTAATTCTTATGGTGACAGTGGCGTAGCATGGGGGGGGGCGGGGGGTGCGGTCCGCACCGGGCGGCACTTTGCCGGGGGCGGCGCTGCGGAGGTGGCAGATAGAGAAAAAAAAATATATAAAAAAAGTGATATTGTGATAGTCTACCTTCTACTCTATGTCAAAAAATGTTAATTTCACTCTTAGGTTAGTGTTATTCAATAAAAGTACTCTTTTTACCATGCCTCAATTTTTTTATAATGGATTGCAAAAATAAGAGGGCGGCAAATTTGGAATCCGCACCGGGTGCTAGTGACCTATGCTACGCCACTGTATGGTGATGAGTCATAGCACGCTTAGTACGGTAAGCATCGCCTGGCCCGCCTCAGCCCTGCACGTCATCAAGCACTATATATTTGAATTTGATTTGACTGTTGAATTTGTATTGATTTTGCTGACCTAGTAATGATCCTCATTAATATTAGTGTATAATTGAAATATTAAACTTTAAAGTAATTCATAATATAAATCAGCAAAATTCTTCGTAAGATTGTTAAATACGACTTCACGTAGATAAATCGTTGTTACAGCTGACGAAATTTTTCGTTCTATATTCTTACAGAAAATATTCTTACAGAAGCAGATATACTACCCTCCAATTTCACCTTAAGATAAACTGTCTCAATCGCACCACTGAGTTCACGTTACGTCTCTTACTCGCACTTCCATAGCATCTTTTCCCTCACCTGTCAAGGACTTATGCTAGCCAGAACCGCCTGTCATTATACCTACTTACTTTAAATCGCTTAGAAGATATTAATAAATTTCAACTTTACGTAATAAAGTTTATTTTAATTTATATATTACACACCATTCAGTTCACCTGTCGGGTACTTATTTATGCATATCGAAAATTAATTAAACACAATGGTATAAAAATTTCAAGCTTTTTATATATTATAATTTCTTTTTATATATTTTGCCGACAATTTCAAAAATATTGTGCTTGATGACGTGCAGGGCTGAGGCGTGCCAGGCGATGCTTACTGTACTAAGTGTGCTTTGACACATCACTATAAGAATTTCTAGCCTTACAGACATACCGGTACTCGCAGGGTTCAGTAGCTCTTGGTCTATATGGCCAGGTTGGAATGAAATTAGCGATCTTCGCTATCCTGCAAATGTACAGCCCATTAAGCTACCGAGCCAACGATATTTAATATCGTTGTATCGAGACCATAACAGACGCTTCGAATTTCTTCTAGTACCTACTTTTATCGTCAGCGTCACCAACTCACTTTGTAAGTCAAACGAAAAAAAAAATATAGTTTGCATCCAATATTCGAGAGAAGAAATAGCAGTGTATACGAATATTATACTTTTTACTTAAGCATTAAACTGCTTCATACATTATTATATTTTTTAGGCCTTAAAGCCTATGGGCGAGGCTACAACACTTCGTAGCGGAGTTGCATAATAGAAGTCTACGACGTCGTTCAACGCATCGCAGAAATGTCCGTTACGCTGCCGGCCATTGTAAGGCTTTTTTGCGATGCGACGTCGCAACGGAGTGTCGTGGCCTCGCTCTAATATATTAGGAGAAATTCAACACATTCGTTATAGGTAGTCTCGGTAGTATAGTAGTCGGTATATTGATCTGGGCGCTGGATTGATCCCATTCGAAACCTGGTTCGAGTTTGTTTTCTCTAGTTTTTTATTTAGAAATGTACCTAGCTCACCACAATACTTAAAAAATATTCAGACTTATTAATATTAGAAACATACATAAACATACACAGGTTTTATCAGAAGAAGTTAGGGACTCACTCAGGTAGGTAATAATTATTAATTTGCATTAAACGATTGCACCGACACCATTATTATTATTCAGGAATAATTAACTATTCATAGGCGAGCACTTGTTTGTAGTCTTTTAACTGTATGTACCTCTCTATAATTTACCCCCGTCTACAGTAATGATTATACTTTATAGTTATATTTAAATAGTAAAGAGTCAGTTATTACACTGATATAAAAATAATAGTGTCTGTAAGTCCGGCGAAATAATAAGGAAAGGATATTGATTTTGAAAATTTAGCTAAACTGGAGTTTTGTAAAGCTGAATATAATATAATACATTTATTAACGTTAACGTTCACGTGATAATAATTTTTACCATTGGTTTTATTGTGATTTCCACAACGTTGTCGTATGAATGGGTCATTTTGAATACTCGATTGTCGACAATTTCATGTAAATATTTTTGTATAGTAGGTAGCTAGAACATTTACTGTGTTTTATGTTTCACTTATTGTGACTGTTATAATGGTCTGTCTATAATATAAGTAACCACATAGGTAATATAAGTAGGTATGTAGCACTATCTGAATTTGTTTTAAATTTTATGATTTACTTACACAATAATAATCGCGATTTACTTCCTTATAAGTATCATGGCGGCTTTTATTATTGCTTATAATGATATATGGGCAAAATTCTTAATTTGTTACTACAATAGGTAGGTACACATCAAAACACAAAGTCAGAAAGTTGAGCCATGTTAACAATAAATTACACAAGTAAATAGTGTAAACAATGAAGGTATTTAATTTATACTTAGTTGGAATGTTTTCATTATTAACACTTTGATGACATAATTCTGTACATTTTTTTTATTAGTAAACGTTTTTTTCAAACGTATACATATTGTCAAAAATAGAATGAATAACATTTTGTATAGCTACGCATCATCAAAGATAATGCTTTGGTATAAGTACCTTAATGCCAAGTGAACTTCATAAACGCACTTCCATTAGGAGTTTCAATAATAGTGAACATAGTAGTGCAAGACATACCTAGCTACTATGTAAAGGCAAGGAGCAAGGACGGGTAGAAAGCGTTTATCATTACTCTCTTCTGGAAATACAGTTCATGGTAAGTATTACGTAGTCTTTCAGTCTTATAACCTCAACCTGAAACTGCTGAGATCTTAAATAAATTCCGATATTGAGATAAACGCGTATCTGGATAGTCCATCTATCGATGTAAAATATTGAACGTGATTGTAGAATAATACTGTCAGATAGTGCTATTGTACAATGAAGTACCATACTCATACATAATATTCAATAATGGCTTATATTAAAAGCCCATAAATTACATAAAATTAAAGCACCCAATATATCCATCACTTATTGCATTTCGAACCACTCGTGCAACTCACAATAGGTACTAACATCGACGCTCTGAGTCCTTACAGCTCTCTAATCGATACCGGCTGTCTTCTAGTATTTACTAAAGCGATCATGAAACATTTAAATACGAACGGACTCGACACGGGCGGGGCGGTGCCCGGTCGCGATATCGCGAGGACGTGTTTGTTAATTTAGGCGTTTAACGAAAGTATATAAAATTGGTCCATGCGTCGGGTGGGGCCGCTTTAGAGGAAAGTTCGGGCGTCGTCGAGGCGGACGCGCGTGATGCGTCGGCAGAAGTGGAAGTGCGCGCGTGGCGGAGGGCGGGTGGCCACGTCGAGGCCGCGCCCGAGCGCACCCAGCCCGCCGCCGCCACCGCCGGCGCTGCCACCGCCGCCGCCACCGCCCGCCAGGGACCCGCACGACGCGGACTCTGCGAGCGAGCGTGTCGACGGCCGAGAGCGGGGAGCGCTCGTCTCGCCTGCCTCACACTACCTGCACAATATTATTGTAACAGATGCGTGACAGTCTAGTTTAGGCTCTCATGCTTAGTTATCCCACATCTGCATGATGAAGCTTCGGGTGGCGTTGGTAATAAAATGAGCTAAAATTAGTGTTCGAACTTAAGACACGACTTCTAGGTGTTTTTATTTTAAGTTGTGGCTATTTGACAGTATGAAAAATGAAGTATCAATTATTGGTTGCTGTTCAAGTTTCCATACAAAATTTGACATTGACATTTCGGTTTGCAAACTATTCGAATTCGATAATGGTTCGTGCTAGGGGTACAGATCTATTGTCGTGGCCGCAACGCCTAGGATTAACGATGCTTAACATGATGTCACTTCCTTGTAAACTATACTTAGTTATTTAAGTACAATAAAGTTATAATTGGTTTTTGTAAGTACCTGTAGAAAGAGTGTGAGTGAGGGGGCGGCGGCAGGGCTGGTGGCAGGGGCGCGTGCGGTTCGGACGCGGACCGCTGCACGCCGGGCGTGCGGTCCCCGCGATCGCGCGCGTACCGACCTCGCTCACGCTCCCGCTCGCCGTTCCAGCTCCACTCCCACTGGTTCTGGACATTGGTCAAAGAAATTAGAATCTACTAAAGAAGAATGAATCAACACGAATCACTACTTTTTTTCGGAACGTAGCGGAGGTTCTTTTCGGACGGCATGGACTAGGCGGATGGGGGCTAAGCGAAAATTAGTATAAGATTTTTCCGTCACACTCACGACAACTGTACTTATTTTTAAGTTCGTTTCAGCCGAGTGTTCCACGACACTCATGTTTACTATTTTTATTTGAGATGAGAGATAAGAGATGTTGTTTATCGTAATAACTACGCTGCCCGAAAATATGGTAAAGGCAAGCGAATGAATTTGAGAAATCCATGAAATTAGCGTTACTAAAGTTAATATTTTATAACAAAATAATTTAAGTACATTACTTTGCATGCTGCCATTTCACTACTAGAATTTGTGTTTATTGCAATGGAAACTTAGAATGTACTCAAAAGTAAATTAAATACACCTACATCATTAGTTTGCGGCACCGATAACGAAGCTTTAGGCAATGGCTGCGCAGGAGTGTGTGCCGGCTGCGTGTTATGGTGGAGGGGGTCCCGCGCTTGCAGCAGCTGCAGGATCCGCCGCACGTCGGACGTCAGACCCGACTCAAGCATTGCCACGCGCCGGCTCAACTCCTCCAGTCTTGTTAACACCGTCGCCACCGATGCCGCTGTTGCAGCAGGGCCAACGTTCTGATACTGAGGCGATACGGTTTCCTTTAAATGAAGTATAAAAAATAAGTTAATCTTTAATGTGATCCAGTGGGTTTCATCCGTCTGGGGGTGCAGCCTTGACCAAAGCTGATACAATAGACTAATTTAAAATAGAACAGTTAAGGTGGATTTTGGTCAGCTGGCGGTAGGAGATTTCAGAATACATTAAACAAAATATGGAATTTGACCACCTATGTAAGTCATATTTACAGCTGATCATTGTGTAATAAACCATGGTAGCAAGACGTGTATTGGGTATGAAAGACACACCTGCGCTTGCGTTCTTTCGGTGACAAACGTGAGAGCGGCAGGTCGTCCAGTTTGATGAAGGTTGACTGCGGAGTGCGACGCTGAGCGTGACGACGGTGTGCGCGCAGCAGAGGAAGGTACGGGCGCGAGGATATCGTCGCAGGAGACGTGAACGGGCGCGGGCGGGCTGGGCGATGTGTTGGTGTAGTACGAGCTGGGGTTCGTTCCGGACTCGAAACTAAAAAGACGTGGATTGGGTATAAAAGACGCACCTGCGCTTGCGATCTTTCGCTGGCAAAAGCGAGAGCGGCAGGTCGCCCAGTTTGATGAAGGTTGACTGCGGAGTGTGGCGCTGAGCGTGACGACGGCGTGCGTGCAGCAGAGGAAGGCGCGGGCGCGAGAATATCGTCGCAGGAGACGTGCACGGGCGCAGGCGGGCTGGGCGATGCGTTAGTGTAGTATGAGCTGGGGTTCGTGCTGAGACTCGACACTGGTAGCGTGGCGCTGTGCGCCGGCGTGCTTACGGCCGGCTCGCCAGCCGCTTGCCCCGTCAGCGGTGACGTATCGTGCAGAGGCCCCACCGACGATTGCCGACGTACTGCTGCCCGACCACGGTATGTTTGTGGCGTTGATTGAGCTGAAACCGTGATTGGTACTGTTTATAATGAATTTAACGTTATTTTATTTATTTTGATTTTAAAACTGAACTAATCACTCACAAAGTTATGCATACTAAATCTTAAAAGTTATGCATACTAAATCTTTCATGACTAATGACCTATCCAGCCGCAGGTTTCATTCGATTTTTAATATGACTTGATTTATTAATTAGTTATCTTGGTGCATTTAACTATTTTCAACACAAAAATTTTATAAATAAGGCTGAGCGCAGATTAGAGTCACGGCAGTTGTAAAAAAATCTTGTCCCACTTAGACAAGACAGCTTTAGGCTGAGCGCAGATTAGAGTCACGACAGTTTCAAGACAGACTATTGCTTAACAAAAATTATGAAGATGCGCACATTTGAAACGAGACGTCTCATAAACAAAAACGTCTTATGTACACAGGAACTGTACAGCGACAAGTCTGACTAACGACTGTTCTCTTCCCTTTGTAATGTATGCGAGGGTGCATATCAACGACAAAACTGTCTAGCGATTAGAGATGACAATCGATGCCAAAAAAAAAGTATACAATACATACGATAAGATAAGTAATATGCGGTTCATAAATTTTAACAAATTATCAAAGGTTTTAAACATTCATTCGAAAGTACTGGAAAAACCTTCTGTGGTGGTGCCTTAATTTACCATACAGTAAACAAAATTTCCCTTTTATCAGCCTTTCACTATATGTATATAGGGTGTACTTAATATTTACGTCGTCTGCGCCACCGTTTTGCAATTGCACGTGTAACTAGGATACTTATAACAGTAGCTTCGGTAAAATCTATTGCGATACTGATGAAATGGTGTGTCATAGACAAAACAGCTTCGTCTTGGTGTGCGCCACGTGGTAGACATAACTGTGTCTTTTTAAATTTAAAGCTGTCTTGTCTATGTGAGACGAGATTGTCTTACAACTGTCGTGACTCTAATCTGCGCTCAGCCTTAAGTTCAAAAGGAAACACTTGTGTATACCACGTGCAGTTCTTGTGTACATAAAACGTTATGTCTATGAGACGTCTCGTTTGAAATGTGCGCATCTTCATAATCTAAAGATAAGTTTACTAGAAAAAAATCCACGTGGACCAGGCAGCGGACGGGACTCGAACCCGCATCCTTCGCAATCCGCGCGAATGCACTGACCATTATACTATTAGGCCCTATTAGCCGCGTCGAAATTTTCCTAGCCTTAAGCTGCAAGGCAGCGCCATCTCTTCGCATTGTAGGTAACCCACAATGTCAAATGAATACTTTTTCAAGTATTAAACATTTGAAAGAAGAAATAGCAATTATTAAATAAAACTAGTTTTTACGGGTTAATGCACGAAACTTTATTTATTTATTGACGTTTCGTAGCCTTTTTAGGCTACGTCGTCAGAATTAAACTTTTATTTAATTTGTCGAGCTACCTTCGAAAGACTTTTATTGAGTGTTCGGTTATTTCATTGTTCGATTTTTAAAGTTTTATTGTCTATGTATGAATTTATTATTTAATTTACTTAATAAAGTATTTTATTTAAAATTCTTTTTGTAATTTTGAATTTATTTATTTGACCCTAACTACCGTAAACTACCACCGGTTCCAAAATTGGGAGACCTTTCTGAGAAGAACCCGCGAAACAAACTCAAGAGAGGCTTTCTATCTCCTTCTTATGTTAAATTATGCAAACAAAAAGAACTAATAGTATCTAATGGTCTTGCAGTGTGTGCTCGGGTTTGGGATTTTATCTCCTGTATAATAGGTTCTTAAACTGGTGGTATATACCAACCATCTTCCCTATTGAAATTTGGATATTTTTTAATCTCAATAGCCTCTCGCGCATCATTCGAGGAACGAACCGCCGCTCAGCTGCAAGGATCTGTGGTTTATCAAATCTAATGTAATGGTTTGGTCCCCCTAATGCATGTTCACACACTGCAGACTTATTTTCGCGCCTATGTTTCATATCTGCGATATGTTCTTTTACCCGAGTCCCTATACTCTTCTTTGTTTGCCCGATGTAGGAGAGCCCACAGTCGCATTGAAGTTTGTAGACACCAGCAACTTGAAAGGGTATATTGCACTTGACCGGTCGTAGAAACTGGTTGATCTTCTTTGGCGGTTTGAAGTATGTATTGATTGAAGCACGCTTCAGAATCCTCCCAATCTTGTCAGTGACTCCTTTCATGTAAGGTAGTATAGCAGGTTGTCGGTCGACTGTGCTAGGTTTGGCGCGACTGTGACGGCGACGTGGTACATTCAGGTTATTATCCTTCAGTACTTGCTCGACATGCTGAAGTTCAGCTGCCAGGTGTTGTTTGTCACAGACACCCCGTGCTCTCTGAAACAAAGAGTTTCCTACGGCAGTTAATTGTTGGTGTGAGTCACCATTGAGGTACCTATCAGTATGAGTCACTTTACGATACACAGTATGGCTTAAACTTTGGTCAGGATTCCTGATTGATAAAATATCTAGAAAAGCTAGTTTACTATCTGCCTCTAACTCCACAGTGAATAGGATTTAAAAAGGCAGAAATTTGATCTGTTGGGAGGATTGTGAAAGTATCATCTACGTACTGCTTATATAGCCTGGGTGTGACAGGTGCTACGCTGAGAGCCCTCTTCTCGAAGTCTTCCATGAAAATATCGGCGACAACAGGTGAGACAGGGGAACTCATTGCAACGCCCTCCATTTGTACATAGAAGTCTTCCCCCCATAACAGGTAGCCAGATGTAAGGCAATGCTCCAGTAATACTGCATATTCTATAGGCATATTATTTTCAAGTAGCTTCTTCTTAGTGATTTCAATGCACTCCTGTACTGGTAGGCATGTAAATAAGGACTGAACATCAAAACTGATCATGATTTCATTGTTCATGAGACGTTGATCTCTAATCTCATTGACAAATTGGTATGAATCTTTCACAAAGGCTGTTGTGTTACCTCTCAGTGGTGAAAGTAACTTTGCTACGTGTTTAGCCAAACGGTATGTTGGTGAATCAATCTGGCTTACAATCGGACGTAGCGGAGCATTCGGTTTGTGTATTTTCGGTTACCCATACAGTTTTGGTGGTTTGGGACATGCAGGAATTAGGTAGTTGATGTCAAGATCCAACGTTTCGGAAAGTGATTTGATGAGTTCACTTGTCTTTTTGAGAATCTTGGCGGTGTAATCACTCTTCACAAGTTTATATGTGTTCTCATCCGATAGAAGTTGTAATATCTTGTCATTGTAATCTGACGTATCCATTACTACCGTGGCGTTTCCTTTATCTGCACGAAGGATAGTAAGTTCTGGCTTAGTTCGCAAGTTCTTTAGTGCAAGGTATTCATCACGAGGAAGGTTTGATTTCGGTGGTTTGCTTCGTCTTAACACTGATGAAATGTCTTGACGCAGCGCCTCCATGTCTTCCTTACTCATGTTGTTTTTCACTAAGCAATCCTCTACGTTGCAGATAATTTCTTCGTACGATATCCTGCGTGGTGCTACAGCAAAATTCAGTCCTTTCTCCAAAACTTAAAGTAGGTTCGTCCAAGTTTTGTTTACTTAAGTTGACAACTGCTTGGGTAGCGTTCGCCTTGTATGTGGTTCTGACAGGTGCGTTTCGTTTTTCCTGAACGCGAGATAGTCATTGATATCTATCCATTTGTCTATGTTTGCACTCGTTGAATTTTGACGACTCGCGATTGTTAAGTATCAAAATGCAATTATGATAATCCTCCGATGACAATTGTTTCCTCAAATCACTGGACAAAACGTCAATGGTGCCGTTGATTTTATATAAATCCGAACGATGCCCTTCTATAATCCTTCGAAGTAGCTTTTTACTTGCCTCTTGTAAGATCTTGGCGCTACCACGTATGTCCTTTTTTGGTGTGATTCTCACACAAGGTGGGATGAGATTGTGGTCTCGGCATTTCTTCAGGAAATTCAACGATGTTAGTTTCCTTGCGCGCTTTGTCTTCAGACCTTCCAATCGGCGGATCTTATTAGCGGTTTCCAGCCCGTACTGGTTAGGTTTTCACGCACATCACTCATTAAATAAATAATAACTCTTTTTGTTTGCATAATTTAACATAAGAAGGAGATAGAAAGCCTCTCTTGAGTTTGTTTCGCGGGTTCTTCTCAGAAAGGTCTCCCAATTTTGGAACCGGTGGTAGTTTACGGTAGTTAGGGTCAAATAAATAAATTCAAAATTACAAAAAGAATTTTAAATAAAATACTTTATTAAGTAAATTAAATAATAAATTCATACATAGACAATAAAACTTTAAAAATCGAACAATGAAATAACCGAACGCTCAATAAAAGTCTTTCGAAGGTAGCTCGACAAATTAAATAAAAGTTTAATTCTGATGACGTAGCCTGTAAAGGCTACGAAACGTCAATAAATAAATAAAGTTTCGTGCATTAACCCGTAAAAACTAGTTTTACTTAATGAGTGATGTGCGTGAAAACCTAAGAAACAAATAGCAATTATGTTATGATTTTATTTATTTTTAAGCATCGAAATTTTCCTAGCCTTAAGCTGCAAGGCAGCGCCATCTCTTCGCATTGTAGGTAACACACAATGTCAAATGAATACTTTTTCAAGTATTAAACATTTGAAAGAAGAAATAGCAATTATGTTATGATTTTATTTATTTCGACGCGGCTAATAGGGCCGTGGTAGCATAATGGTCAGTGCATTCGCCCGGATTGCGAAGGATGCGGGTTCGAGTCCCGTCCGCTGCCTGGTCTGCGTGGATTTTTTTCTAGTAAACTTTTCTTTAGATTTAAACATCTAGCAGTTAAATGCTTAAAAATAAATAAAATTATAACATCTTTATTAATTTTTAAGCAATAGTCTGTCTTGAAACTGTCATGACTCTAATCTGTGCTCGGCCTAAACTTATTCTATAATTTATATATTTCTTTTTAAGATAAGACTTTAGATTTATTTATTTTTTTATATAAATTTAATGTACAATTTTGCAGTTAATAATATTTAAATAAAAAGATTTTTAATTGATCGTAAAATCTGAAAAAAAACCCACATGTTTTTTTAATGTCTGCAGAAAAATCATGCACTGTTAAATAATGTTTACTTACAATACTTGTTGTGGAGCGGCTGGTGTGTTTTATGATGGTAGAGGTCTGGGAAGCTCCGTTTTAGTTGCGCTAGCATGCCTGCACACAAGGGCCGCGCTCAGAGCCAAGCGACGGGGGCGAGGGGTAGGTTTTATCACAACAAAAAAAATATATGAATATTCTATCCATTCCCTATTAAAGGCAGTTTTCCAAATTCGTTCCCCCTCGCCCACATCACCGATAAACAGGAGGAAATAAATATTACGTAAACAATAAGCATTGGTCATGCTGCTTTAAATGAAATATAAGTTTTGACGGTTACCACATGTGTCCTTTCAAAACTTAATGGGATTTCGATAGTTTCTTTTTATTCCATTATTTATATATGAAATGAATATTTTATTTCACATTTAACAGAAAGTTATAAAAAATAATCATATCTTTGGGTTTCACATTTTTGGAACGTTTAGACTTAAAAATAAGTCCAATCCACAGCTTGAAGCATCAAAGGAACTTTTTGTAAAATGTTAATAAAATTTATGATGGGAAACCTAGCTTGTATTCGTTCGATATAATACTTAAGTGAGAAATTTGGAAAATAACTAAGTATAGAAAAATATTAGTTAATAGAGAAACTGAACAAAAAAGGATAACGATATTCCAAATTATTTGAAAGGGAATTGCACATAGCTCATTCATATCTATTATGTGTAGCTCTACTCTATATAAGGAACAGACACTACAGAACGCTCGTCTAACCTTCATTTTTACCACCGTGTACCAAAGCATTTATTTACACGAGCCGTTTGTGGTGCATGTTGGAAGGACATGTTTAGAATTTAAAAAGTTTAAGAGATAGGCAAGTATTTACTTTCATTCCAGAGTAATAATGCAGTTGTACTAACCAGTGATGGAGTTAAGAGTTGTCGATCTCTGTTTACTAAAGTTGAAGTTAAGGGGAGTGACATCTTGTCCAGCTTTGTCGGTTGAAAATTCTAATATACCTCGACTTGGAGGCGACTCTGTATCGTCGTCGCTACACTGAGAGTCCTGAAATATAGAGTCATGCTTAATATATATGTTTCAATTAAAAAAAAATACTAGAAAATATTTATGGTCCGGCAGGTTCCAGACAGGATGGATCTAGATCTATTAGAAAAGGCGAGCAGTATAAAATATTATATTATATAACTTCTTAAAAATACTTATTATTTTTCTCAAGTTTTGTGATCAATAGCAGTTCGTCACAGTTCACAATATTCTCAATTCTACCCTAATCTGTGTTTCTAGACACATATTTATTATTCTTATTTTTAATTACTTTTCGATAGAAATCTATAATGTTATTTAAAATAGAGTCCGATTAGTCCTTTATTTTTATTCAGTCTATATATTTTTAATAAGTTTTAATAGCTGTCAAGGCCGTAGCCAGAGTTGTGTTTAAGGTAGGGCAGCGGTAATTCAATGTAGGGCATAAACAGGGGTATGCCACTCTTCACAGTCTGCCGCCCTGTTTTAAGGTAGGACAATGGTATTTTAAGGCAGGGCATTGCCCTATAATGCCTCCCCCCTTAAGCCCTGTGTTCATTTAAGTGGGTATGGAGCCTCGGTCATATCAGCAAAAGCTTGGTATCAGCCGTATGTTTGTATATCGTACTATCAACAGATACAACAACACTTCGTCTGTAGAAGACCAGAAAAGATCGGGGCGGCCGCGTGCTGTTAGAACTACAAAGCTGTTACAAATGCTGTATAAGTCAGAATTCGGCGAAACAACATTATGAAGCAAAAAATATTGTCGCGAGAAATGAAGATTCCCACTAGGACTCTGTCGCATATTATAAAAAAAAAAATTATTTGTAATATTTCAAGTGAAAAATCACCAGGTATAGATAAAATTAGAATGAAAGACTTAAAATATATTAAAGAAAAAATCAGTCCCGTATTAGCTCATTTTATAAATATTAGTATGGCAAAAAGTATTTATCCAAATCAGTTAAAAAGTGCTATAATAAGACCTATTTATAAAAGTGGAAGTCATTATGAGTTTACAAATTATCGTCCAATAGCAATATTATCGGCTATAAATAAAATTGTTGAGAAGGTGATAGTTGGGAAAGTATGTGCATTTTTAGAAAATAACAGTTTGTTGGCGAATGAGCAGCACGGATTCAGACGCGCGCGTAGTACGAAAACAGCCTTAAGTAACTTTGCTGAAATAATTAACGATAGCCTCAACGATGGAAAACAAGTGATAGCGCTGTTCATTGATTATAAAAAAGCTTTTGACACCCTGGATCATGACATTCTTCTCCAGGCCATGGAGGAGTGTGGAGTTAGTGGTCCTACTAACCAGTGGTTCAAAAATTACCTAACTAAAAGGACTATGCGAACAATGATTAACGGAATCACTGGAGAGGAGTCCAAGGTCACCTTGGGTGTACCAACCGGTTCAGTTTTTGGACCGGTTGGGTACGTGATGTTGGTGAACAGTGTTGTTAATGTCATAAAACTATGTAATGTATTAATGTATGCTGATGACATGTGCCTATTATATGCTTCAGAAAATATAAACGAAGCTCGAAATGCAATTCAGGAAGATTTCGATAATATAGTCAGGTGGGCGCATGACAACGGCATTATTATAAACATAAATAAAACGAAAGCGATGCACATATGTTCCTCTTTCGCCAGAAAGTCTAATCGTATAAATTACAATAATATAGGAATCGAGGGACATACATATGACTGCTTGCACAAATAGCACAAATAGCTGTGAATGTAAACCTTTAGAATATGTTGTCAATTATAAGTATCTAGGGTTGTTAATAGATAAACATTTTCATTTCAAAATGTATATAGATACATTATGTGGGAAAATAAGATCTGTTTTAAGTAGATTTTATTTACTGCAATATGCAGTAAACAGGCTAACACTTCGTGTTGTATATTATGCCTTAGTGGATTCGTTGCTGAGCTACGCTATAGTTGTATATGGTCGTACCTATAAAAGCTACATAAGAGGTCTATATGATTTACAGACAAGATTAGTAAAGTATCTAGTTAGTAAAAATGATAAACATAATTGTAAAGGAAACTATAGAATGTTGTATTCAGTGACAAAAATACTACCGATAGATTTAAAAATCAAATATCAATTAGCTGTAGATTTTTATTATGATGACAGGTTTAAAATCCCTGTTGCAAATAAGTATAACACCAGAGGTGTCAGAGGGGGTAAATTAATAATACAAAGATATAAAAACTGCTACGGTAAAAGATTAAATAGATATTTGGTGCCGATTATGTACAACGAAATGGCGTGGCTTAGAAAAGAACCTAAGTTTACAAAAAAAACTTTAATATCTAATATAAAAAATGTGTTACTAAAAACTATATAAAATATTGTTGCGGTGATGTGGAATGGTGTGATATATATAATGTCTGGTTCACTGTCGTATTGCTGCTGTTGTGTATATGTTTTGTTTGTATTATTATTTAGATTGTAGTGCACTTGTAAAGTAATTAGTTTTAGCGCAGTTACTTGCCAACAAACTGTTCTCAGTTTGGCAAGATTTAATGTTTTGTTATCAAGTGTACCCAAAGTAAATACAATAAATCAAAAAAAAAAAAAAAAACAAGACCTGAAGCTCGGTGCTTATCGTCGATATACAGGCCCTAAATCAATCTTCACAATTAAAGAGAGTGGATCGATAAAAACGCCTTCTGTCGCAATACGCAGGTGAAAAACACAGATATATCCTCTTTATTGATGAAAACATTTTCACACATTGAAGAACACTACAATAAGCAAAATGATAAAGTACGCTCACAGTACTAAAGAAGCTGCTCAAGTGGTCGGAAATGTACAATGTAGGTCATCATCCTGCGTCAGTGATGGTTTGGTGGGGCGTGTCTTATCAAGGAGACACAAAACTACATTTTTGTAAAAAAGCAGTGAAAAATTCAGTCAAAGTGTATCAAGATACAGTCTTGGATCATGTTGTGAAACCTATCAGCAGTACACTTTTTAAAAACTAACCGTGGACTTTCCAGTAGGATTCTGCACCTGCTCACAAGGCACGAACTACTCAAGCCTAGCTTGAAACCAACGTTCCGGTCTTTACAAGAGCTGAAGACTGGCCCTCATCTAGCTCAGACCTCAACCCTTTAGACTTGGTCAGTTTTAGAAGACGTCGCCTGCTCTAAACGGTACGGTGACATTGAGTATCTTAAAAAATCTTTGGAGCAAACAGTGGCGAAATTTCCTTTGGAAACAGTGCGTAAATCCATCGATTCCTGGCCAAACAGATTAAAGGCCTGTATAAAAGCCAAAGGCGGTCATTCGAATAGAATATTTTTTATTTTTAGCTGGTATTTAATAAATATGTAGGTATACTTTTTAAAAATATTACATTAATTCATTAAAAAAATGCATTTTCATTTGTAACAGAACTTATAATTGGACTAGGTAGTGTAGAGTCATGGGTATGATTCTTATGGCTATAAGTCATCGCTTCAATTATAATCCCAAATACGTAAATACGATAAAAAAAATATTTTACTCAAAGTGCTTACCACTTTCTCAGCGAAGGTCTCGGTGTGTGGACGACGTGTGGTGCGCGCGTAGGCCTCACGCAGCAGGCGCGCGTCGTTAGGGTTCTCGTACTTCATACGCCGACGTGGTTCTATGCCGCCGAGTTCCTCCTGCGATGGAAGAAGTACAAAATTTACATATTTTTATAAAGCAAATACAAAATATTTTGATTTTTTTCTGGACCATACTAAATATGTAGGTATAAATTTTAATGATATTACATTACTTCACAACAATATCAAACTAAAAACTTATCATATAAAATTAACCCTAATATATATATATATATATATATATTCACAAGAAGAATATCGTCGTTGCGACTTTAAGACCTCCCATGTGTAAAATTCTTCATTGCGAGATATTCAATAAAAACTGTCTACTGAAAAAAATATAAGGAAACTAAATACAACAAAAAATACAAGTGATAACTGGAGGGTCTTATGATTTTTATTTTGCTCTTGTCATTTTAAATAAAAAACGAAATTGTAGTAAAAAAATAAAAAAACAATTCAATGTGACACATAAGAGGTTTTGGTTGCGGGTTTTGTATCACATTAGAGAATATAAGTATGTAAAAGGGATTGAGATTGAAAACACAAGACTTTTAATTAAACAAGTTATTTGTTTTTAATATTTATCATTGCAATGACAATAGTATATAATAGTGGTTTTATGTATTGCTCAATAGTGGAGTGAACACTGTGCATCTCCATCATGGTGTGCCCTTTTTTATGTTTAATAGGCAAGGCGTTTGAGCAAAATCTCGCCTGATGGAAAGCAATGATGAGGCCTAGGATGGTACACGCCTGCCTTGAAGATGCCTGTTCACTCTGGCCTTGAAGATTTCCGGATTATATTGGTCCGAGAGGAGTTCCACTCCCTAGCCGTTCGCATAATGAAAGCGGAAGTAAATCGCTTCGTGCGAATGGGAGGAACTTGGACAACATAAGGGTGAAAGCCCTCGCCGCACCTGGTCGTTCGGTGGTGGAAAGGGGAAGGGGGAATCAAATAGTGTAGTACTTCCGCACACTCCCCGAAATGTAACCGATAAAACACCGAGAGGCAAGTTACACGTCTTCGGTGGTCAAGGCTCTGGAAATTAGCGACGAGCGATCAACGAGAGCGTCATTGCCTATGAGTCTCTTCACACGGTGTTCCACCGAGTCCAGTGCATCCAGCTGATACCGAGAAGATCCATCCCAAAGGTGACAACAGTACTCCAAGCAGGAGCGAACTTGGGCTCAGTAAAGGTTAAGGAGCTTCTCAGATGGAAAATATCGCCTGATCTTTGAAAGTATTCCAAGTTTTTTGGCAGCGCTTTTAGCAATGGACTCGATGTAGCGACCGAAATTGAGGCTGAATGAGATGTCCAGACCTAAGTGCTCGAGATGGTCTGTAATCGGCACGGAGATATTTCGGAAAGTCGGAGTCAGATGGAATGGACTCCGTTTCGCCGAGAAGAGATAGGCTTGTGTTTTAGAGGGATTGAACCCAACCAAGTTGGCTTCACCCCAGAGGAAAACAGCTTCCAGGGTTGCATTCACTCCCTCCACCATCGCCTCCCTTAAAGATTGGACGTCTGCATTGACTTCACATCAGGCAGGTATCTCTCCGAGACTGTGCTGTCGTCTGCATACCTAAAGATACCGCGAGTAAGGAGAAGATCATTGATTTCCTTTCTCTAAATAGAGTTGTTCGATATTAAATTGCCTTCGTTGCCAAATTATTTGGGGCACTCGACAAAATTCGGTTTCTGTTCTACAAACATAAAAATAATAATACACTCAATTGTAGTTGGTAAATTTTGACAATGGTCTATTAAGCAAGATGTAAATTCATTAGCAGTTACATTACCATCTGCTTCGTGCCAGCAGTAAATTGATATATTTTTATATAAAACATCATAAACAGTGAAATTATGACATTGTAACTTCAATTTATAGTACAGGGCACTTGCCAATAGCTTTGGAGCAAGCAATATACTTTGCACATCGACTGTTATAACCACAATTTAACTATAGAGCGAGAACCCGTCGAAGCTAACGTAATTTTTATATTACTACCCCCATCTAACACCTACAATCGGCAAATAATCACGCGATCTATGCATCCCTCTCATTCCAGTTAGTTATTATACATATATTGGTTAGTTAGTTCGAAAATTTGACCAATAACAATTTTTACCTATCTAGCACTTTTACACATAAGATATTATGCCTACTTTACTTGAGCAAGCACTTAGGATATATTGAATAAAGTAAATAAATATAAATTGAAAAGACTTATTCACATGAGAGTTCTTGCTTTCGATGTATAATCAATATTATAATATATACTTACTAGAATAAATTATTATGACATCTACTACCTATCCTTACCATTATCTAGTCATAATACTACCTGCGTGATCAGTATAATGTATTTGTTTCCATTCTAAGCACTCTGAAACTTATTTATTCTTTGGAACACCTGTACTGTAAAATTCGAAAATCAAAGTTCGTCTCGTACCGTCTCGCTCGCTCATATTATTAAATAGTATTAGCGTGAGTGGGACGGCACGACACGAAATTAGAATTTTGCATGAGTATACCTAGGCCCTGTGGCGGCAATCAAATAGTGTCAAATGTTGTGATTTCGGCGCGGCGGCAACGATTGTTGTATGTGATTTTAATAGAAGCCGCCGGCGCGTGTATCATCACCATGTAATTCCGAAAAGCGGCAAATTTCTGTGAGAAATCAGTACAAAGCCTTTGATGCCGCATTATCAAAGTGCCAATGGTTAAAACAAAACTATGTATGCACTCTGTTTGATTTTAATGGATATTTTTTTATTCGCTATGTATGTTTATGGTATTGGTCATAATGCGCATAGGTCCAGTTTTTCATAATCTTTGATACAGTTTTTTGCGTCTCATAGAATTCCTAAGCGTACCTATACACCGAACTGTTATACCTAACTACTCCGTGAAATAGCGCTAAGTCCTAGCTGACGTTAGGGTCGTGGTCGGCTGACATGAAGCGGTTTATGAAGGATATGTCTAATCGACTGATTCTCTCTTCGGGTGATCAGAGGGCTGGCAGCTATTTCGCGCAGAGAATCAGTTTAGTTATTCAGCGAGGTTCTGCAAATAGTTAAGTAAGTACTTATCGTTTAGTCGCTTCAAAGAGTACGTAAACTAGGCAATCTTTGGAATACCTCAAGAACAGGGCAATTCGTTTTCGTGTTTCGTTTCGTTATTGTTGTTTTATTAAAACGGGCTTTATAAATTCGTCCTTTTTAACCATGTGTTTCATGATTTTTAATTTGTTCCTCAGTCAAAATATGGATTTTCAGATAGGATTTTGATTAATTGCAGTTATTACAGACACAAGGACGGTACTGTACGCAAACCATTAATTGCAGACACTCAGATTAAAATAAATGATACGTACGTATAGCGAAAGTTGCGGGCTTGAATCTCGTCTGCTGCCTAGACCGCGTGGAACTTGTCTAACAAAATTTTCAGTAAATTTATAAAAAAAAATGTTAAATATTACTGACATCACGCATGTTGTAAGTGATCTCCAGATTGTTGACGAAGGAGGCCCGGAACTCGGGATAGAAGTCCAGCACGTCGAGCAAGTCGTCCCTGTGCACGCGGTGCAGGTCGCAGTATGTGAGCGCGCGCACGCGGCAGTTGCTGCGTCCCACCGTCGGGTGCACGCACGGGTTTTCGCCAAAGACATCGTCCTTCCCTGTTACGAACATTCAGATTAACAAAATACCTACTATGGAAATTAAACAGCTGTACTACCCGCTCGATTCAAGTTGGCCGTCGATGACCGTTACAAAATGTGTCATAGGCCACTCCAGGCCAGGCACGTCGACTGGTAGGTACCGTCAACTAATAGGGTCGGCTAGTAGGGTCTGTCTAGGAGCGCGGTGCGGTGAGGCGGGGAGGATTAGAGCGGCCTACTCAAAGCGAACGCATAGTAGGTAATACCTATCGTAGTCGAGTCGCATGGTCGCTAAAAGGCGTCCGGCATTCTATCGGTGGAAGTCTAAATTCATGCACTACACTACAGCACTTTATACTTTTGTCCTTACCTAGAATAGCCATGACAATATCGTCTTTCAGAATTTCAATCGAGCCTCTGGATATGAAGTACAATGAGGTCAGAACATCACCACGATGAACTAAAGTTTCACCAGGGGGTGCGTGCGTTGTTTTAAATCTTAAAGATAGAGCCCTGTAAAAATAAGGAATGTATGCTAAATATAGAAAAATATTTAGATAAATCACTGTGTAGTAAATTTATTAAACAAAACAATTAATTATGAGGTTAATTTATTTACCTAAGACAACCTGGGCTAGCTCCTTCAAATGCAGAACAGTTAGCTAGTAAATTACGATTAAGATGCAGGCAAATATCAGCCTGCAAACATTCAGGGAAGCCCTTCAAAACACTAGAAGTATCGATGCCGTTAGTGTAGCTCCAAGCGTGTTGGAAATATTCCTCTAGGCGTTGCCGGAGAGGATTTGCAATCTGGGGAAAAAGTATTTCATATTTAAAAAAAATATCAGGTATATTGTGGTACACATCCTCTTCTCCTTCGTCAGATGTTTTGTAAACCCACCTGGTGAAATCGGATGAATTCACGTACTCTCAGAATCTGTGTGTGATATCTAGCTGTTCCTGAATACAATCGTTGTATTATCGCTGACACATTACCGAAGATACTAGCATACATGAGAGCTGAAGAGAAGAATTTCTATTTAGTAATGAACTGAATTACGTATGTAGATGTATTTAATGAACAACAATAAAATTATACTGACATCCTACAAGCATGACAAATATCGTAAATCCTTTTTCCATGTCGGTGTTAGGTGCGACATTTCCGAATCCAACGCTTGTCAACGAAGTGCACGTAAAGTACAAGGCAGTGATGTAGCGAGATCTAAAAGATATAATGAAGTAGGATTAGTATACTTATGTTACAAATCATTCGGTGATTGTTCTTAAGCAATGGGAGAGAGCATCATAAACACATCGTGGGATGAGTGAGATATTTAATTAAACAGAACAAATACACCACATACTTACTCGTAGATACAAACAACTTAAGCGATTAGAACTGGTTTAATAAATTTTACTTCTGAAAAAGAAAACTCATGCGGCTTATGGTGCCAACTATTAGAATCTATGAGATTAATATCATATTAAAAAAAAATAAGGAGTAATAAATACACAATAACATGTAAAAAGAGACAATTTATGTCCTAAATTGATGAGTTTTTTCAGTGTGAATTATGAATGATATATTACCTCATGGAGGGGCCCGTAGAATTGTCATAAGATGCTTGAACATCATTTGCAAGCGCGTCCAGCCATCCAATAGGAGCATGTAGCTGCGGTCGTTCCCAGCTACCAATAGCGTACCTGTATCATCAAAAAGATATTTCGTTAACACAATGAAAATTGCGATATGATTGGTTACGGAAAATGTCGTGAAGCTCACCACAAGCATGCCAGCCAGTGTGCAATAAGCACAAACGTGGCCATAAGAAGTAGAAGGACGGCAGTGCCATATTCGGAGTATCTGTCAATTTTGCGCGCGACTCGTACGAGCCGCAGCAGGCGTGCGGTCTTCAGGAGGCCGATCAGCGTCGTCGTCTGCAACCACCACAAGCACTGCTCAGAACGCTCCGCCCCAACAGCACCAGCGCAACTTAGCCGCAACTCAAGCAGTTTATGATTCGTTTGCTTATACTAAAATAGCATCAACGAGGCTTCATAGCGAAAACCACGCTAACCAAGCAAAAGTTGCCTATGAATATGCTTCAGAGCTCAACCAAACTGAGATAGACTTGGCGGTTAGTATTACAAGCGATTATTGGAAAACTATAATATTAGCTGGCTTCTTACAGAATGCGGTGCATAATTATATGTAAGTAAATTTTAAGACCGAAATTGGTATTTTTGTTAAAGTTACAAATAATTATCTTTTTTTGAAGTCTTGTAATAACTTTGTAGTATTTTCGTATAAGTGTAGAGCTAAAAATCAAACAGGTACTGTTACTTAAATGTACTGTAATAATACATGAACATTTACAACTTGACACCGTGATTATTTTGAAAACACACTGTGCATAAGCCAATGAATGATGACTTTAAAATATTACCTGGCAGAGAATCCTCATTAGTAAATATGTAATTATGAGGCACATGTATATTTAACTGGAGCGATTAGTATAGTACCTATATAGGTTCAGAGTTTAAACGTAGTTAATGGTTGAACATAGACTGTGACCAAACTGCAGAAATAATTTTGATTATTTAATAGGGTGCACTAATGAAATATTTACCTATAAAGATATTGGCTTAAAACCTTACCACAAAAGAAAACAGTTCAGTCATGAAAAGGTTAATTTTAAATAACGATTAGACAGACATTCTGACAAATTTTATAGAATGCTAGTACTTAAAATATTTTTGTATAAAGTACATTACATTCTGATTCTTCATTTAAATTCTCATTATTAGGTATACTTATTGTGCTTGTCTTGTTTGTATCTATTTGTCTCTATTGAAGATTTTTCTGTCGTTATATTATTTTTGCTTGAATTGTATTGAGCTTATATACATTGTTAGATTTAATAATTTGTCGTTTAAGTAGTTGATAGATTTTTATAATCATTCATAAATCATATTTAATGTGACTAGCAAATGACCTCGTATAACCTAGTACAAAAAACCTATTCCTATAACTTAGTCATAGTACCTTTATATTTCAGTGAAGTTGTTAAATTGTTATGATATGCATAATGTTTACAAATAATGAGAAATAGGATTGAGGTTGGATGATGAGTGAACCAAACAAAAGAGACAAGTGTTTAAAAAAATAATTTTATTACAATCAAAAATCAAAACAATAGAGGGTATTAATTTCTAAACAAGAAAACTAACGCAGTAAACATTCAGTGTAAAATGATTAACAAACATTGATTGAAAATAAAAAATATAAGTGAATATTTTGGTTAAACACAGTTATGACTTTTATATTCTTTGTTTTATGTAAGGTGGGTGCTATAAATACAACATGGAAGTTGTAAGTATGTTGGGGACCTACATAACTCTGTGCGGAATGTTGTGAAAACACTAAGTATCCATTAAAGACTTTCCCTGGGAAGTGTGAGCGTATAATTGCTAACAAGCTGTAATGTGCATATCGTGATTTTTGCACCTTAGCTATGAAAAGCCAATGAAATGTCCCGTTCCAGAAAATCTAAATATAAATCATCATCCTCTGTACCATAATTCGAAACAAATTCATTTCATGTATTAATTACTTGAAGATAGAGTTGAATTACGTACCTAGATATAGAGAAGCTTTATAACGAAAAAATCAAAAGCTTAAAAATATGAAAATTCTTAAAAAAATCCTTTAATATAAACGCAATTGTGACATTCACCTTGGCAGCTTGTGAAAATCTTTACCACCGCAGTCTGCAGTTCTAACTTTAAGCTGACTACGATGTTGTACGGTTTTGTGCTAGGAAACTTAGAGCTCTGTCATAATGTAGGTATTCCATTAAAGTAATCTATGGTAAAGAGCTACAGTTGGAATGCTTCGCTACGTTTATACTGCCTGCTAATTCATAAAAATGATGGTAGGTAATACTAAAGTCGCTCTTCAGTTTTTATCATTGGGCGGGCAAGCTCGTGATATATTATGGCAGTGAGCTTTTTGAATGATCAGCACGGTGTAGTTTGAACATGATCATAACATTATTTGCTTATGGGAAGCGTCTTTATCTTCCATTAACGCATTCGCATAGTGGATTGAAAATGGCTAGTGGAAATCAATTGATAAAAATGTCAACTAAAATGTAAGAAAATCGAGTGGCAGCAACAAAAAAATAGTTCACAAAGATGGTATACCTCATCACTTTCCAGCCCCTGCTGTAACAAGAAATGGTATAAAAGATTCAATACGCACCCACCTTCGGGCTCTCCATACCGTTATTATTTAATAAAATAATAAAAAGAATACACTTTATTTTAGGAAAATAATTAGGTAATTATAATAATAATCAATGATAAGTAATTTAACAAAGAAAAGTAGCAATTGATATGAAAAACTAAAAACAATGATGTGATTTCTTTAATTTTGATTATTAATTTTGAATAAATAAAATAATAAATAGCTTATTGTTTTGATAACGCGGCATCTTTAAGCGACACATTATGATGGCGGTAACCTGATTCTATCGTGATTTGCAATAAATGCATTCCACTAGATAGTGTAAATAACGTGAATCACTAAAAAAATTGCCAGATGTAGATACATTTGTCCGAAATTGAATTTAAATATTAAATCGCGCACACTGAATCAACGGTAGAGAAGCAGCATTTTGGAGTCACAGAAGACCTAAGTTGAACTTAATACCTAATATCACTGTCGCTTTTTCTTATGATGGTGACACTAATCTTTTCTTGCTTTTTTAACTGCTATAAAGCCGAATACAAATTAAGTACATATATAAATCTTGTCTTAAATGTCGCTTTTGGTTCAAAAGCCTTACAAGTTTCGGACAACTGATCGTCTGGTGGACTAGGTATAATAATGAATAGCACATATTCAAGCGATCATCAATAAAATAGTAATTGATCCTAAAATAAATACATTTGGTAACCTAACCTAACCTTTAGGTTACCAATTGTGTTGTTTAGGTGATCATTTATTATTTTTTTTGATGATCATTTAAATATTTCCCATAAAAGGTAAATTATGCATTAACTGGTATAGTTTAACACTAAGTTGGGTCGTGTGACTGTGAAATGAGATCCGACAGCGGGGGGGTATGTTGGGAGTAAAAGCAGCTCACTTCGTCGGTGTCGGTGCCGAAGAGGAGCAGGTCGAAGGGGATGGCGGCCACCAGATCGATGACGAACCAGCCGCGCAGGTAGTGCATTGCGATTTTGGCAGGGTCCGACTCAACCTCGTCCGCCGCGTTAACATACGTCGTCCGGAAGTTTATCAGGATGTCAATTATGAACGTCACATCGACTGAAAATAAAACACTGTGTTACAATAGACGGTTGGATTGTGAAAAAAACCTAGTAATATAGTTATAAATTACCTATACCTAGACATTTGGTACATTAAACTTATATATACAAAATTCAAATCTTTTTTGAGTCCTTTTTATTTCGAAAGTACATCTTGTGTGCTTAAAAAGTTATTACCAGTTTAAAAGTGTAAAAGTTACTTATTTTTGGCAGACCAGTGTGTATATATAGAGTGATCTTTCTTATTGTATTGTATTATATAAATAATAAATAAATAAATATTTCCATCACACACACCAATAATTAGCCTAGCCCAAAGTGTGTTATAGGATGCTAGGGTAACGGATAGAATATATATACAGTACATATATAAGTATATTTATATAGAAATACATATTAAACATCCATGACTGGAGTACATGCTCGTGTTCATCACAAAAACATCTGCTCCCACCGGGATTTGAACCCGGGACCTCTCAAGTCAGCGACACCATGAAACCCGGCGTACAAACCACTCGGCCACGGAGGTCGTCAAGTATAATTATATGTATTGTATCAAACGCAATAAAAGACTTCGTCGGAGGGTAGACCGATATGTCTGCCAATAACAGCCTACCCGCAATTACTTCAGCAACTCCGTGATCATGGCGCTTGCAACAGTGCCGAAATATCGGAAACTCACTAAAAACAAGGTACATACATGGTAACAATCCCGTAAATAACTTATATTACTATAATGTTAGTGACCATGAAAGTTTAAAACAATATAGTGATTGTTTATTTTTAAGATAAGCAGATATGAAAATATGTTCTATGCATACATTGTGGTACTTATACTTACCTACAAATGCGATAAATTGATGATTTTTATTTAAAATTCTTTAATGCGATTTAGAAATATTATTTATTTCATGTACATTAAAAAATATGAATATTCAACTATAGACAGTAAAACATATAAATACCTATCATATCGATGACGACGATAGGGTCTTCGCCGAAGCTGCGCGAGCGCTTGTCAAAGTCGGGCTCGTTGAGTTGGAAAGCGGCGACATAGGGCGTGAATATTGCAGTGTAGATCACGAGAATAAGGATCAGCCAATCCCAAGCGGCCTGAAAAAGCACAGAACCGTTATTATACACAGACACGCAACTCGATGAAATTAAACTCCTAAAAGAAGCATTGATAGTATTTGCATTTATTTATTTTTAACAAGGAAAGTATTGTCAGACTATTATGGTTTTGATTGAAGAACGAAGAAAATTAATTAATGTTACCCAGACATGGAACTAATATTTCAACATATATCTTTAAGAGTATACTAGGTGTGAAAATATTCCGGTATGGAGAAATGAAATAGTCGTATACTATTATACACACATCAAAAGTGTCTAGGGATCAAGCATTTTTATGCGGATTTCTTGAGATTGAGATGTGGCTTTGTAATAAATTTATGATTTTATAAATTTATATGGATCCTTTTTGGTGCATTTCATAATTTGAATCAGGAACTGTGAATCAAATTCGAGTAAAAGATGAAAATCAGCTGTCAATATTTTCCCTATAAAAACATACAACGCATTGAAGACATTATTAGTGCTACTGTTTCCCTACTACTGATTAAAACCAACGTTATTATGGAGCGGCGACGTCATTTAAGCAGGGAAGAAATGCTCAGAGCCGTGGGAATGATAGAAGCTGGTTCCCGGCAACGTACTGTGGCTTTAGCTCTGAATACAAGTCAGAGTGTTATCAGTCGACTTTGGACACGATACCGAAGCACTGGTACCGTGGCTGAGCGCCATGGAGGACGGTATCGCTGCACCACACGGAGACAAGACCGATACATTGAAATCTTAACTCGAAGAGCTCCAACAATAACCGCCATGATGTTAGCCGTGAGGCTTCATCACTCTTCAGGGAACTTAATTAGCGACCAAACAGTCAGAAACCGCTTGCATGAAGTGAACCTTCATTCCCGAAGACCGCTACGGGTACCACCTATAGCAATGCACAATCGTAGGATTCGATATCAATGGGCTCTTGAACACAGAAATTGGGCAGAAGAACAATGGCGTTTCGTGTGCTTTTCTGATGAGTCTCGTTTTGGTATGAGACCGGATACAAGACGTATACGTCACTGGAGAACCCCTGGACGCCAACAGCGATTAAAATCCTGCCAGGAAGTCCATCCTTATAGTGGTGGAACCATCATGGTATGGGCGGGTATTTGGATCGGCGGAAGAACTGAGTTGATTTGGATCAGAGGCAACCTCAACGCTCAAATTTATGCTGAGACGATTGTATCAGACGTCATCGTTCCTCTACAAGTGCAAATCGGTCCCTTATTTCTGTTAATGCATGATAATGCACGACCGCACACCGCAAGAGTTGTAAGACAGACTCTCGCCGCAGCTAACATCAATGTCCTGCCCTGGCCTGCTCAGTCGCCAGACTTGAACCCGATTGAGCATGCATGGGATATGCTACAGAGAAGAGCTCTGCCGAATATGGAGGGTATCCAGTCGCAAGAAGACCTTTTTTTGTTGTTGCAACGAACATGGGCGGCCATTCCACAGCGTGATTTGGATGAACTCATTTTGAGTATGCCAAACCGATGTTCTTGTGTTGTTAGTGTTCGCGGTAGAAATACGGATTATTAATTGTTTAAGTTACCCAATAAAATTTTACAGAAAACTGTTATTTCAGTCTTTTTTTCGAACTTTTGTGTTAGTGGTTCAAATGTCAAAAATCCCTTTATTAGGAAAATGGCAAATTTCTTTATTAATGCAAAGGTGACTTGGTTTATCGTTACTGTGACAAACGAAAACACTTTATTTGATGAATCCTTAAAGAAAATTTTAATTAATATCAATCAGGAGAAAAGTTATTGCAAAAATATATGTTGATCCCTAGACACTTTTGATGTGTGTATATAGAGTAAGATAAGTTTTTATTATCTGCATACATTTCTTTATCAGAAAAACACATACAGCTATTTTTAAAGGAATAATCCTAATGCAATAAGTTACTTTCAAAAATAAAATAAAAAAAGTAAACATAATTGTATCAAAAAATAACAATAAAAATAATTTAATTTTGTCTATACTAATATAATATTATGAAGAGGAAATATTTTATTGTTTCTTTGTATTGAATAGGCTCCGAAACTACTGGACCGATTCGAAAAATTCTTTCACATTTAGAATCCTTCATTATCCGTGATAAACATAATAAAGCTATAGAGTATTTTCAAAAAAGTTAGGATTCCGTATGAAAAATTCGATAATGTAACCCAACGTGTGTACAAAAAAATACCAAAAAATAACATTATGTCGCGTACGCTGCGGAAGTCATTGACAATAAATCAAAGTGATGTACTAAAGTTTTATAGTATATATGCTGTCGCTTTTTTACAGAACTTTTGAAAGGGAACGTTTCCGTTAATCAAGATTTTTGTGTAACTTTAACCGTTTACCAGCGCACGCAACGGAATCTCACAAATGGAATATTTTTACCAACGGTATTAAATACCCTAGATCCACCACGTGCTCTCAAAATGTGTCCCATTTAAGAAGTGCTTGAACACGACTCAAGCACTTTTTGGTTCATAGTCCCGCGTGGACGGTTGAAAAGTCAAGATGCCGCAGAGCTCCTTGAAAAAATGCGAAATAAATACTTATAGTACGTAAAGTGTATAGTTTTTTTTATCGAAAAATAACACTTTATGAAATTGATTAGAATCAATGTTTGTTAATTAAACGCATTTAAAGCAAATTTTGTTCTAATACTTACTATAAACCAATTTAATTGAAAATATTTGTGTTTTTCAAATGCATACTCAGTAATATAGCATTCTCTTTTCCTCGCGGTTGGTACCTGCTATTATATTGCTTACAGCGCATTCAGAATATTGCGCGTAGAATCAAAGAAATAAGGTCTATGTTCTTTCGCATATAGCAATAAGTGGTAAAATTTTACGAGCTTGCATTTCAAATTGTCAATCTCTTTGGCGCATGCGTTTTAATTAAGACCTTATACAGTATGCGTTAAAGGCGACTTTCAATGTTTAAATAATTATACCTTATATTGTTTTTGACTACGCGATCATCTTACGGAGTTCCGTGGATCGTCAGATGTACCTTTTGGACAGGTTTCGGCCACGATTTTGAACCGACGAGCAGCGGCGGCAGGGTGTGGTGAAGAAAGGGAATACCTCCCACTTTTTTACTACGCTCTTAACTGCGTGCGGACTGGATGGTCGTACTGAGGGTACTACATAGTAAAGAAAAATAATTCTCGGAGGCGATACCATGACAATTCAGATCGAACTTCACTTAGGTAAGTTCGTTTGATCATTCAATTATTATGAAGAAAGTCATTGCGTATAATACAAGCCTTTGAACAAAAACTATAGTCTACACTACAGCTCTACGGTACTCAGCGGTTATCTAGTCTATATACTTATAATAAATCTGTAGAGAGGTCAATTCTGTACATGAAATATATTTTCAAAATAACTATCAGGGGGTGATTAGTGATCGATACTGATGCCAAAAATGCAATCAGTAAAATTTTTGTCTGTCTGTCTGTCTGTCTGTGTGTATGTTCCTTATAGAAACAAAAACTACTCGACGGATTTTAACGAAACTTGGTACAATTATTCTTCATACTCCTGGGCAGGTTATAGTATACTTTTCATCATGCTACAATCAATAGGAGCAGAGTAGTGAAGGGAAATGTTGGGAAAACGGGAGAAGTTACTCCATTTTTTAAGCTTCCGTCGCGTGTGCAGCCTTAATGGTTAAAGTTACATAGAAATCATGTATGACGGAAATATTCTATATAAAATTGTCTAAAAAATATCCTGCAACAGCATATGTCTATCTTTTATGGTTGACTCACAATAACACGTGTAACTCCTCATAGCTTAGCAGTTCGGAGCATTCTGATTATATTTGTTTACTCTTACGTTTATAATACTCTCACTCATCCCTAATTTAAAAAAGTTAACATTATTACCTATTCAATAAAAGAGAATCATAGAAATCGGTATAGAAACACCAAACTTATACATGAAATAAGCCATCGCGCCGTCGCACGTGAATACTGAATCATGCTATAAGGATTATTTTTGTGTAACGGTTGCCGCGCTTGACACGGGTCGCAGCGGCGGTAGGCTATAAAAAGGCGGGAGGTCCGAAAGCGAGCTTCCCCGCTCCCCCGATCCTGAGAGACCTTCAGTCGCTCTGTCCTAAACCGATACGGATGCACATCAGAGTGCATCCGTCCTCTAAGCGCACTATGCAGTAATATTTGCTAAGGCAGCGCTGCATCATCCCCTTCTCAGAGGTTGATCGCATAAGATGAAGCCTGTATGGCCCCTAAGGCCAAAGCCATCCCCCACGGGTGTGTTTTAGTCAGTAAGAGTCTGACATAACCCTACAGCCGGCTGTAGGGTATCCATGAGGATTTCACACCCGCTCGCCCGCCTGAGAGGAAACAAAAAAAAAAAGAAAGCGAGCTTCATTCAATATTTGGCTGTTGATGCGTTCAGAGCGTTCGACCTTATTGACAGACAATAATTGATATTAAGAAACCGTGCTTATCTTAGAATAAAAACCAAACATTTGTAAACAAAATTAGCAAATAAATCATGTAAAACGTGTAGAAAATGAGTACTGGAAAACGGAAATATGAGAATTTTAGTTTGATTATAAATACAGGTAATAAAGTCAAAGGTGACTGACTGACATAGTGATCTATCAACGCACAGCCCAAACCACTGGTCGGATCGGGCTAAAATTTGACATGCAGGTAGATGTTATGACGTAGGCATCCGCTAAGAAAGGATTTTGATCAATTCTACCCCCAAGGGGATAAAATAGGGAATGAAAGTTTGTATGAAACTTTGTCAATTTTAAACCGATCGGGCTGAGACTGCATGTAGGTATAAGAAGAATCATAGATGAATGTCATTGTGTATAATACAAGCCTGAGAACAAAAACTGTAGTCTACACTTCAGCTCTACACCGAAGCGAAGCGAGGGCGGACCGCTAGTTATAAATAAATTAACTTTAGTAATATTTAAAAAAACATTTCTCATAAAAT